CTGCGAGGAAGTATCTAAGAAGGCAGCATACAAACTCAGGTCTTCCTGACTCCGCCTTCAACTCTGTGTGCTGCCCCCCAAGAGCCCTGCCTGCCCGGAGGTGACTTTCTATCCAGAGAGGTCACAAGAGCATCTTTAAGCTTACACAGAATCAGCATCATGAGAATAAATAAAATAGCAAAATGCTGTGTGGCTGAGTGGGAGGGGCCAGAGCTTCAGGGAGTCAGCTGCAGGAGAGGTGGGGCGGAAGTGCATTGAGCCACACTGCCCCCTTCATCTCTTTCAGAGTCCGCTTGTGTCCAGCTTCCTTCATTCTCCACCTGCCAGTGCTGGTGGAGACAGACCTTACTCCTAATCCTTGTGCCTTAAATGCTGCAAAGCACCCTACAGGCTCTAACTCGCCTGTTCCTCGCATCAACCTGATATCCCCATTTTACAGATGAGAAAACTAAGGCTGAGGAGGACTCGGCCAGATCGCATGGCTTGTAAGTGTCAAAAGCAGGATTTGGTCTCCAGCCTTCCTGACTCCTCGTTCACCTTAATACACAGACGGGACGAGGGGCATTGGCTTTTGCCCACCACCAGCCCCCTGACAACCTCTCTGTTCTGAGCTTTGAGAGGTTCCTCGCAGCCTGTCCTGGGTGAGCAACGTGTTGTTGGCTAACTCATTTCCGGTGATTCATGAGCTGCCAGTAAAATTTCCCACCAGACTTTCTTCGGACTAGCCCTGTCTCACTCTGCCAAGCCCTGAGAAGCTCTGACAGAGATCTTCACCTACCCATGGGAGGACCCCCTCCCTCCCACGATTCACTCCTTCCCAGGACTCACTATCAGCTCTGAATCCTGTGGACTGCTTTGGAGACCAGGGGGTTAACTATCTCCGGGGAGCTCACCACCCTCCTTAGCACTGGAAGCAGTCTGGGAAGAAAAACCAGTTTGGAATCCCAAAGTTCTACTACTTTCCAAAATGTGGTCTCTGCATCACTGAGGATCCTCAAGGAACCGCCCCTGGTCTGTAGGCAGGGCTGCTGGGCCACTCCTATTGACAGTGCTGCAATCCTTTGTTTTTTCCCTGAATCAACAATTAGGATTTAATTTAAAAGGTTATGATGGGTCTCCTTGAAGTCTCTGCCGAGTTCCCAGGCTCCAGGCTGTCAGAACTGTGATATCTGCAAGCAGGAGCAGTCTGGGGAGCCTCAGTTTGTCCAGAGAACCCCTCTTTCATTCTGGACTTCCCTGCCCAGTGGCAAGCCTCATTGGGCAGCGCACACATCTCCCTCGTAGTCTTTGTTCCATATTTATGGTCAGAGACCCATCACACTGTGTTCTCTCTGCTGTTGCATCTTCCACAGAAGCCTGTCTGGTTCTGACATATACAAGAGATGCCTTATTCTACAAATCCTCTCGTAGAGTCCAAACTAGTAAGTGCCAGGAGCATGTTTAATATCTATGCCTTTCAGCATTGAAATGGGACTGCCAGGATGTGGTCTGCTACATGGTTCTTAAAAGTCTGCCTCTTCTCTTTGCTGTCTTTATCAAGGATGCCCTCCATGCATGAAGATTCTCCTCAAATATCTTGCAGATGTGGGGAAGTAGCCATAGGGGTCATTAATTATTGGCATTTTGGAGTCACTTTTAAAAAAATATTCAAAACTCCAGAGGGTGTGCAGCCTAACTATCCACACAGGAAAAACCAAATGGATGAAGCATAGCTATTTCAGGGCCTGGCATACAGTAGGTGCTTAATAAATGTTTTTGATTGATTGTCCAGACTAGGCTATGCTGTTGGATGGACGAGATTTATCGTTAGCCCATCAGCCTACAGATCTTGGACAGACATTGGTTGGAAAATGAGTTTGTCCCTGAATTAAATAGGAAGAGAGGAGGCTGGAGGGTCTTTGAGAAACTGTTCAGAGCTCTTAGGAAAGCCAAGCTCCTCCCTGAAACTCAGATTTGTGTTAGCATCAACACTGTCCTGGGGATGCTGAAGAGCTGTGAAACATGGGGCTTCCCATTGTGAAAATGGGAAGGGGCCAAAGAGGGACAGATGAGGGGTATAAGGGCAAATTGGGCAAGGGAAGTGACACAGAGAAGTGGCCAGAGAGGTGTGTGGGTGTGCACACCCACACACGCAAGGCAAATTGACTGCCTAGAAAAGAAGATGGAACAAGAATGAGCAGGGAACCCCTGCAGACCAGCAGGACCCGGGCGAGGCTAAGCTCAAGCAGGAGGCCCTGCAGACAGACTAGCACAGGGTGGGCAGGAAAGGAAGGATCGCTATCTGGTGGAAGGACCACCCATGCTGAGGACATCCCAGATTTATCAGTAGATTCAGGAAGTGGAAAGAGCATTACATTATTCAGCCAAGTAAAGCGAGGCACTCAGCTGAGCCAGAGGTGAGTTGTAAAGCCTTTGGGGGTTCTTGGGGGTTAGGGGGCAGGGAGAAAGATTGCCCAAAAGAGAAGGTCAAGATGGCAGAAGCGTGGGCTTCCCGGACTCCAAAATCTCCTCCAGCTCTACATTCATGCTTCTAATGCACTCCCCAGCAGGGCTCCTCCTCTGAGCTCCCCTACTTCAGTCAGGGATGCTGTCAGTCCTCCAGGCTTACAGCCATGGACTCATCTGTGCACCTAGCGACTGCGTGTTAGCCTACAACACGCTGGGGATGGCACTGGCCACCTGGGCTTGCTTCCCACTCATGAATTAGGGCGAGTCACGTGGCCACGCCCCACTTCACTTGCTCATCAGAAAGTGAGGGGTTGAAAAGGCTGCCCCCAGGGTTCTGGTTTTCTGTCTTATGAACTCCACCCAGTCTATGCTCTCTCTGTCCTTCCTGCAACCATCCATCCATCCATCCATCCATCCATCCATTCATCCATCCATCCATCCATCCATCTATCCTTTCTTATGGCCACCATTCCTGCAGGGAGAAAGCTGCCTTCTTCCAGCAGCACCTTTCCCCAAGTGGAGAGTGGCTTCAGAAGGACATTCTGACAAACCTGAGCTTTGCTAACATCCTTGGGGACTAGTCTCCCGCTGTGGCTTCTTCCCCAGCAGCCAGACGTCTTGGACCTCTGGTCTGGTTTCTTCCAGGTACCCACAGATGGACAACAAAGATGGAGCCCCAGCCTACACACACAAAGACAAAGAAAGCATGGGGCGGGCGGGATTAAGACGAAGGAAATAGAAGACCTAAGCATTCCAGCTGGGGGGCTCCGAGAGGCTCCCCCAGTGGCCAAGTTACGAGTGGGATGCCAGGCTGCTGAAATCAAGAACCCATGCTCCAGGGCTCCTTGCTGGAGCTTCTGCCAGGGAAACTGAGGCCTGTTGCAGCTGCAGTAGCTCAGCCGGCTCAGGTCACCAGGCTCGGGCGTCCTTGACCCTGCTGTCATTACTAGCCTGGCATCGCAGCTTCCCAAGGAGGCTACAGCGGCTGAAGAGAAAATGCGGCAGCTGGGCTGCCCGATGGATCGGTCATCTCTCACATCTGGGCTCCTTGTCTGGCACCAGCGGCTGCCTTTGCTGGAGCGCACCTGTGTGTTTACTTCACTCTTGGCCCTGAGGGCTCTTGCCTGCTGCAAGAGCCTCTTCAGCTCTCTCTACCTCCACTTCCTCTTCTCTCCAATTTATGCTACACATTGCCAACAGATGAATTTTCATCGTTCCCGGTTAAAGCCCTCCAATGGCTCCCCATTTCATGGAGCACCAAGTCCTACGACCAACAGGACCTGAGGCACAGGGCTGAACCATAGGGATGGTGTAACACAACCTTTTCATTTTACAGATGAGGAAACTGAGGCCCAGACAGGGACAGGGATTTTCCCAAGGTCACCTAGGGAGTGAGTGATAGAGTCAGGATTTGACCTGGGTGACTCCAGGTGTAGCACTCTTCTTCCCCCTGCACCACACTACTCGCAATACCGTCCATTCAAGGTCCTCGGTGACATGGCCCCAACGTGCCTCTCCAACCCCATCGGTCAAGAAACCTCTACATGAACCTACCGCTCAAGCAGTTTTGGCCTATTCATTATCCCTGGAAGCTGCCAGGTATACTCCAAAAACCTGATGAGATATCTCCTCTACCTGTGCAGGTGAGTGCCTTCTCTGCAATTCTAGTCTGAGAGAGTTGTCTGTGGTCCAAAGAGGGCAAGTGACTTGCCCGGGGTCATATAGCCAGGAAGTGTCAGACCCAGGTTATCCTGACTCCAAAACCAGCTTTCTATCCACTACACAACACTGCCTCCTTCATCATCATGCTGCCTGTAGAGTCAGGAAGACTTTGGCTCAAGCTCCGCCTTTGACTCCGACAGCTCTCTGAGCTTCCGTTTCCTCATCTGTAAAATGAGCTGGAGAAGGAAGAGGAAAACCACTCCAGGATTTTTGAAAACCCCAAATGGGGTCTTGAAGAGTCAGACACGACAGAAAGGATCCAGAGGCAGGCGTCTTCCAAATCCTTCCCGTCAATGACCTTCGGGTCTCTCATCCGTAAAAATGGGACTAGTTAATAATAGTGGCCCTACTTCCCTCCCAGAATGTGTAGGAAGGAAGTGGTTTGTAAGTCCAAGCGTCCCGTGGAACCAGGAGCCGTTATTACCGCTCTTGGAGTACAGGGAGGGGTAACTATGTTATTTATGCCCCGGGGCATGCTGGGCAATGTAGTGGTTAGAGCTCTGGGTCTGGAGTAAGGAAGAGTTGAGTTCAAATCCTACCTCAGACACTTACCAGCAAGGTGACCCTGAGTAAGTCACTTCACTGCTGTCTTCCTCATCTGTAAAATATGGCTATTATACATATATATATATAATATTTAATTATATATTTTATATTATTTATATAATAAAATACATTATTATATATACTATTATATATTTATTACATATTCTATTATATATTGTGTATTATATTATGATGTATTACTATGCTAAATTATATATAATTAATATATTATATTATATATTATATATAACATAATATTATGTGTTCCATATTTATTATGCATTATGTATCATATAATATTATTTATTGCTGTTGGGGTGTTCTGGGAGGACTGGCCTCTCTGGTGTGAGGCTGCCAAGCCCTTTCCAGGGTGCTCATCTACCTCTGGTGTCCACCCAATTCACCCAACTCTCCCCTGTGGCTCCCAGAAACTGCAGCATGTGCAGAAGCACACCCAAGCAGAACAGTTTTGACAGCCAGGCTAAACCCGGTGGAGGTAGCCAAGAGGCCTTAAGCCCACTGGTGAGTGAGGATGTGTCCACCCCAAGCACTGAAGATGTCCCCTCCAGGAATGGGCGGGTGAGACGGCCCACGCAGGCTCGGTGAAGCATCTGGAGTTCGGTCAGGCATCAGAGACGCCACGGTCGTCCATTTCATCCTGGGTCAACACCGTCTTCCTGACCTTTGTCTCCACAGGACACGGATGGCTCTGGGGGAGAGAGTGAGGTCAACAACTTTGCGCAGCTCTGCCTCACTTCAATCCAATCCACGCACACTCAGGACGTCACTGGTGGCCCCAGTGGTCATCATTGAAAATGAAGGACAGGGGCAGCAAGGTGGCGTAGCAGATAGAGCACCGGCCCTGAAGTCAGGAGGACCTGAGTTCAAATCTGACCTCAGACCAAACACTTGGCGTGTACTAGCTGTATGACCCCAGGCAAGTCACTTACCCCAAATTGCCTAAAAAAAGAAAAAAGAGAGAAAGTGAAGGACAAACAACAACATTATTTGTATTTTCAGGTAGATATTTTACATGTAAAATGGGAATCGTTTCCTCATGTTTGTCCCTATCTCCTCAAATAGGGATAAAAACAGCCCCTCCCTTCCAGGCGTGTTGCGGGGTGTTCTGGCACCACAGAAACACTCCCCGGGACCCTCAGGCGGAGCAAGGGTCTTCTTGCCTAGATGATGCCACGTTTATGGTGATGTGACTGGAGGTTGCCCCTGAGAGGCACCCTTCTCAAGACTCTTTCCTGCTATTAACTCGTCCTACAGTACATTTCTTTTTCAAAAAAGGGGGAAAAAAGGATGAGTTAACGAAGCAAATTTTGCACACATGTGGCAGAGTGTTCTGAAGGGGTTTGGATTGCCAGGCCTCAGCAACGTGCCTCGTGCAGCTGCTAATTAAAAGCTTCAGAAATATGGATTGACTGAAATGTCTCAAAGAGTCCATGTGATTTCAGGGACAGAATTTTTCCCTTTATCCCTTTCAATTTTTTGGCTTTCTCTCCCTTTTAGGGAAAAAAGAAAGCCCACACCCACCCCCAACCCTGTGATTAAAGATGGTCTCCAGGGAAGTGAAACACAGAACTCTCTGCTAAGATAGCCTAGAAGTTCTGAATTTCAATATTCAATTCCCTAGCAATTTTTGAATTACACAGGCAAGTTCCACATTTGCATTGGAAATTTTTGAAGGAAATGACTCAGCATGAACCTGCAGGTTGTTGTGCATTTCTTCATTTCTCATCACCTCCCAGAATGCAGGACCCTGCACTGATCCCTTGAATGAAGACCCTTCCAGAGAAGCCTGCTTAGATGCCTCGTGGCACCAGGGCGGACAGCCTGCTTGCCTTTCTGCACTCCACTTCCCACACTGGTGTTCTCACTGTTCCTCCAATGTAACCGTCTGTGTCCCCCCCCCCCCCCCCGTAGCTTTGCCCTGGTCATCCTGTGCCTGGGGTGCACCCACCTCACCTCTGCCTCTGATGATCCCTTTTGCCTTCCAGACTTTGCTCAAGTGCTCCCTGCTCCATGCCCCCTTCCCCCAGCTGCCGACGCCACCCATACTCTTTACCTTGGGTTTCTTTTGTATGTGTTGGTATATACTTCTATATGGGCCTGTTGTCTCCTCCTTGAGGAAGGAAGCTCCTTGAGGGCAGGGCCTTTTTCACTTTTGTCTTCATGTCTCTGGTGTGGAGCACAGTGCCTGCGTGTTCCATAGTAGGTGCTTGGTAAGCGTGACTGATTGAAGGGGATCTTCACCAGCCAAGGAAACACCCACACCAGGAACCACATGAAACAAAGGAGAAGGATCGAATGAAGGACACCATCGTCCTTGGCGTGGATAGATGCACATTCCAAGCTGGGCTCCAAGGTGGAGTGATGGCCTGCTAGCTCCCCGCAGGGAAGTCTGCCCTTTCCTTCTGCCCATCCAATTTATATTCTGAGGTATTTGGGGAGATTTTTAGAGGCGGGCGCAAACACAGTTCAGTTGAGCTTACTGACCTTTGGTCCCCATCTCCTTGGTTTCTGCACATCTCTCTGAGGTGTTCTCTTTCCCCCTGGCTGCTCTATCCTGCTTCTTCTCCCACCGTTCAGACACCTCGGCCTCCATTGTCGGGATGTTGCCCATGTCCTGTAAGCCTTTTAAGCCCAGCATCTCTCCAGGTGCTGTCTCGGCCTCTGTCCAAGTCCTCTACCTCTGCTGTCTTTATACCATCTCATGTGGGGATCTCATCAGCTCCCAGGGACTCAGTCACCACCTCTACACAGACGGCTCCAGGCGCTCATCTCCAACTGCCCAGCTCTTCCACACTCTTGCCCCATGGCATCAACTGAGATTGGGCATCTCAAAGCACACACTCCCCAGGCACCTCAAATTCAATCCGTCCGTGGCAGAACTGGGTGTTATTCCCCTGAAACTGACCCTACTGTGAACTCCCCCATCCAGTGGAGGGCACGTGTGTATGCAGGTGTGTGTGTGTGGGGGTGTACTTGGAAGGTACTGCCTTACTGCCCCTTTTTATGTGCACATTTTGGTTTCTGTAAGGGGGCATAAAACAACAGCTTCATAAAGAAAGTTGGTAAGATCAGCTTGAGAAGAAACCTAGCCTGTGAGCTGAAATGTCGAGGAGAGAGGCACAGACAACCGCCCCCCAAATGAATGCACTGAGAGGACCTGTTCGAATTAGGAGGTGTGTTTGGAGCCTTGAAGGATAGACCTGGGCAGTCAGAAATCATGCTCCCAGCCTTGGAGTCATCCTGGGCTCTCCCCACCTACTCTGCTCTCCTCCCCGCAGCCAGTCAGCTGCCAAGCCTCCGTGACCCATCACATCCTTCTCCTCCTCCCTTGGTCACCCCTTGGCATTGTCCTCAGCCTCTCTCACCTGAAATAGCCTCCCTCTCTCCAGGCTTTCCCCTCTCCAGTCTATTCTCCACCCAGCTGGCAAAATCATGTTCCTAAACACGGGTCTGGGGTCCTTGAAACACTCTCTCCTCTCTCAAAGTCTTCAGTTTTTCCCCATTATCGCTAAGATAGAATGCAGAGTTCTCAGTCCAGCTTCCAAAGCCCATCACAGTCTAGCTCCAGCCCCCTCCTGGGCTCAGCCCTTTCCTCTTTTTACAGCCAAACTAGCCTGGCATTCTTCTCCCAATTCAAGATTCTATCTCCCACCTCCACACCTTTGAACAAGCAGTGCTGAATGCACTCCCTCCTCACTTCTCCTTCCAGGGTCAGCTCAGACGCTGTATGCCACAGGAAGCCTTTGTGATCTCCCTAATTGCTAGTGCCCTCTCCTTCTTCAAGGTACCTGGCATCTGCTTATGTGTATACCCTCCCACACACATATATGTAAAATTCTCTGGCAGAATGGGAACTCCTGGAGGGCAGAGACCATTTTGTTTCCACCTTTGCATACTCAGCTCCTAACACAATGCCTGGCACATAGTAGGGGTCTAATTTATGCTTGAAGAGCTGAATTGAATCACAGCAAAAGGCCCATAAAAGGTAGAGGCTCCCTAAAGAAATTCTACAACTTCTAAAATCACAATCTATTGTCACATAATTGGATCAGTTTTGATTCTATTGTTATCGCAGCTTTGATGGAAAACATACTTGGTAATTACATAAGAGGAGAACATTTCACCAGTGTGGACACATTGGAGCTTAGCAGCAATTTGCAATGTTTTCAATTCTATTGAATTTTAATGGTTGGGCTTTCCAACATCTTTATTTTTATACTAAAGATAATTCTTTTTGTATTAGTGAGGTAATCATTTCAGTAATTCTTTTCTTGCCCAACTTTCTCAGACAATGAAGGACCCTTTATTAGTAACAATAGCCTTTGGGGAGGGGTGGGGAGACTGGACCCCTGATTTCCTCAGTGTCAGGCGGTGGGTTCAAACTCAAATAGAATGGAAGCAGGGCCATGAAACCGTACATAAGGATCTCTGTGACTACACATTCGCTTAGTTTTAAAAGCTAATGTTATCTCTATTTTATCATATTTTTATTTACCTTGTCACATATTTCCAAATTGTATTTTAATCTGGTCCTGGCCGGACTCAGGGGTGTTGTGGGCAGTGCTCCAGCCTCTGGCCCCACGTTTCACCCTTCTGGTATAGGGTACTCCATGGGTGGAAACTCCCTCTACTCATGCAGATTGGCACCTGCTTCCACTTGCAATCTGTCATCTCAGAGAGCTGTATGGGGCACTGAGTGCTTAGGAGATGTGGCCAGACACTTACGGCCAGTAGGTGTCAGAGGTCTGTCTGACTCTGGGGCTGCCTCCCTCTCCAGTGTGACCATACTCCCTCTCGATAATAAAAATGACAGATAGTTGTAGAGTGCTTTCAGGTTGCAAAGTGCTTTACAGAGGTTCTCTCACTTAACAAAACCGGACTAACTGTCTGGGAAATCAAAGTGTAATTTCCTTTTCCCAACAACCTAAAGCTGAGCTTGTGACCTTGAGCAAATCACTTTAGCTCTTGGATTCTCAGTCTTTTCATCTGAGCAATGGAATGCTGGTTTTCACCCATACTCTTCACAAACCACCTGGCACATAGTAGGTGCTTAATAAATGTTTATTGATTGATTAACATCAAATTGTGTGTGTGAGCATGCATGTGTATGCAGGGGTGTGTGTGTGTGGGGGGGTGTACTTGGAAGGTACTGCCTTACTGCCCCTTCTTACGTGCACATTTTGGTTTCTGTAAGGGGGCATAAAACAACAGCTTCATAAAGAAAGTTGGTAAGATCAGCTTGAGAAGAAACCTAGCCTGTGAGCTGAAATGTCGAGGAGAGAGGCACAGACAACCGCTCCCCAAATGAATGCACTGAGAGGACCTGCTCGAATTAGGAGGTGTGTTTGGAGCCGTTAAGGATAGACCTGGCCAGTTAGAAATCAAATAAGCATTTGGGGATGGGGAGAGATGACACAAGGCTGTGCAGCTCCGACTTGATGGACAAGTGGAATTTCTGAGTTTCACATCAGGTTAGATATGAGCCCTGACCTGAGGCATTAGGAGCCAGAAAAGAAAGAGGAAGGTAGCAGGGGACAAGAGAAATCTAGAGTGAGAGGAGAAGCTGAGCATAGGAGGAGGAGTCATGGACAGAAGGCAGAAGAAGCAACCAGAGGAGCTGCTTACAGAGGCCGGCAGGGACTGAGCACAGTTGACTGGCTGGGTCTGCCGCGGTGTTGCTGAGAGCTGTACTGATCAGAACAAAGCATTGCTTTGCTGGAAGCTGATTGGTGGAAGAAAGGTAGCCATCCGTTAGTGCCATTATGCCCCGAGCGAGGGGAACCCTCTCTCAGGACATAGCTTATTACACTCCTCTATTCTGTGTAGTTTGAGGGGGAGAAATAGTCAGACAAGGAATGATAAGCTTTGAATCTGTTTTGTTGTGAGAAGAAACATGGCTTTCCTGAGAGGTAATTGGATAAAACAGACTCTCTTGCTATTTGAAGAGGTGATGATGAAAAAAGTACATGGCCCTAAGATAAGAGAGAGAGAGAGATTCAGAGCCCCATAGAAGATGCGAGGAGCTTGGCCATTCTCTGGCTTGAGGAAATGTCTTGTCACTGAAGGCGTGCCACACTTTCTCAGCGGCCTGTCAAGGGTGACTATGTGCTCTAAGCACTTGTTCCTGCCCCAGTGCCCTGACAGTAGCAAAGAAGCGTCTTTGGCTAGCAGGAGAGCTATGGAGACAGAAAGGGAGCAGATTGATAACTGGTTTTCCCCAAGAGGTGATGCGTGGTACAGGCTGAAAAACCAAGGACATCCTGACATCCAGATTTCCCTATTCATATGCCTCCCTCTAGCTTTCTGTACGTAGACACTCTTCCTAGACACTGTGTATAGGGATAGAAAAGTATGACTCAAAGAGAGAGAGAGGACCTAGAAAAAAAAAGCAGGAGGCTTTCCTGGGATACATTTACCATCCCCACCTACCCACCCACCCCACACCCCCACAAACACAACACAACATTACAAGGAAGTCCCTAGTGTGTTGGGTGGACCCAAATGTGCTCCATGGGAAGATGTGGACTTCAGTCACTCGGGATGAACCAGCATGGATGGGTCACAACTCACCTCAATGGAGGGACTCCTTGCATGGATGAGGCCAGAGATCCAGGGGAATATGTGAGTAGCTTAAGAAAGACACTAAAGAGGTCCACAGATCTTGTTTTCCACTTTGTTAGTAGAAATGTTGAAGCAGAGTAAACAAGTTTCCTTCCCATCTACGAGTTTGGAAGCTTAGGTAGATGGTTGCAAAGTGGAGAGGAAGGAGGGGGTATGTCTGTCAGGAAGTTGAATCATACAAGTAAGGAGGAGGAGACTATGAGCTAAAATGAGAAGTGCCCAATATAAGAGAAGAAAGGCTGTGTCCTCCTGGATGTCCTTTATCCCAAGAAGGCGGTCTACATCTGACCCAACCTCAGGTCAGAGGCACACTCTGGGGCCTGCCCATCTCAGAGGCTTCTTATCATCCTGGCTTAAGCCAGATCCCCAAAACCTGCCCCAAGATCAGTGGATCTGAGCTCCCAGCATAGACCAGCCACCGCCCCCACCCTGCTGGGCTCCTCCATAGGAGAGATGAGTCAAGATTCTGTCAGACCTCCTGAAGTCGCTCTAGACCCGAATAAATGTCCATTTTATGTTCCCAGGTCCAGTTTGGCAAACCCTGAGGGTAACTCCAACGATCTCAAGGCATACCACAGTATTTTATAATATTCATAAACAAAGGGATTTATATTTATATAAATATATATGCATGATATGTATGCACATAGAGAAAGGCATCTATAGCTATAGATATACTCATATGGTAATTTGGGAGGGGAGAGGGAGAGGCACAGATTGTGAAATCAAAGCAGCAATCATGTGTCACAGTCCCAGAAAGTCAGAGGGATTCCCTAGGGCTTGGGGGCACAAGGCAATATCTCTCTGGCTATGCTTGGCTCTGTCTCAGTCAACAGGATAAAGCTTCCCTGGTTCTTTTTTTTTTTTTCCAGAAGGGGATTAATATTTAAAGCAAGGATGAGTCAAAGCTAGCGAGTGACCATTCGGGAGTTTGAATCTTTTTATCCTGACTCTTTCCCAAACCTCTAAATTCCCACATACAAAAAATGGTGCATCTTAGAAGCCTAGATTGAAGCTGGCCAGGCATTTCTGTTGGACTAGAAATTGTTCAAGTAGAGCAGAGAGACCCCAGAGCCCACCCCAACCTGTAGCTCAGTCAAGCCAAATCAGCAAGCATGAATTACCACTGACTGGGAGAATGGAGCAAAGATGAGCAGGACACCAAAGGATTTCTTTCAAATAATTACAAACACTTAGAGAGGAGTTTCAAAAAAGCAAAGACATCGATCGGTCCTGCAAGGTCCAGACACTCACTGACCCAAGGTCGTGGCAGTCCGGGCGCCGTTTTTAGAATCACCTCGCTCATTCCGTTTCCAGTGCGTCAGACTCAGCTTGTACGCACAGCCCTGTGAGAGGGCTGGAGGAGCCGGTGCACCTGGCCAACCTCACTGGTGTCTCACTCCCCCAGGCCCAGTCTGGGGAAGGGCGCTCTTGTTCCTGGCTGGCTCTGGAATTCTCCTCCTGCACAGACCCTCGGTCCCCCTTCTCGCCTGGCCCTGTACTGGAAGGACTTACCTGTTCTGCTTGCGCTCGCTGCATTCCTTCCTGAGCTTCTGTTGGTGCGTTCTGGGAAGAGCGAGGAGGACAAGAGTGACCAGGAAGGGGTCAGGAGGGCTCGCTGAACTCCTTTCTCTATACAGCGCCTGCCTTGCGTCCTCGGTTCCTGTTGGGAACTATTTTAAATGAAGACCCATTGCTTTGTAGGCTTGGCTCCCGGCTCCCAGAAAGTAGCGGAGCAGGGGAGTCGTTGTTAGAAATGGTTTCTCTGTCTCTGACTTTCTGGTTGCTTTAGATACAGAGACTGGGAAAGCTGCTTTTGCTGCACCTTTGCAGCCCCAAGGGCTTAGGGGACTCCTGGGATGGTGGAGGAGCCTTGAAGTCAGGGAGGTCTGAGGTCTAGCCCTGCCTCAGCCATTCGCTGTCTGTGTGACTCTGGGAAAGTCACTTGAACAGCCACCAGCCTCTGTATTCTCATCTGTAAAATGGCAACGTGAGCAGCTGGAGAACCTCCTGGGGTCATGGTATGACTCGAGTGAGAGAGCGCATAGGGAGCATGGGACGAACCTTGACCAACTGCAGGGAGGGCTGCTCTGGTGATGGACTGAGCCATTCCCCCAGCCGCGTTTCTTGCCAGCCAGGTGGTAGAGTGGGTACAGAGACAGACATGGAGTCAGGAAGACCTGATCCAATATGGCCTGAGACTCTCACTAGCCTAGTGACCTTAGGCAAGTCATTTACCTCTGTTGGCCTTAGCTTCCTCCCATGATTGTCATGAGGATCACAGAAGGCGATATTTGTAAAATTCTCTGCAAGCGTTAAGTGCAATACAAATGCCGTTATTATTGGTGTTGTTATCGTAATTTATAATAATCATTTCAGAAAGGCAGAAACAGCAATGCATCGTCATTGCCCTGTACTACTGGCATCCGTATCAGTCAGGATAGAAATTATATTTGACTTGCTGTTCCAAGTGCAAGAGGTGATATAAAGGTCTGCTATGTCCAGTTTAGGTTAGTCCTGCATAGCAGGCGATGAAAGGGTGCCCAGGGTTGGAAGTCAGAGAACCTGGGTTTAAAACCCAGTTCTGTCCCTTCCTACCTGTGACCTCGAGCAAGGCCCGTACTCCCATGTGCCTCAGTTTCCTCATCTGTAAAGTGAAGAGGCTGGACCAGACACCATCTGAACTCCCACCTGTCTCTGTAGCTATGACCCCCTGACTTCTCTGTACCTGTGAAAACAAGGACCCTCAACAAAGATCACTAAAGGAATAACGCCTGGGGCTTTGATGTCTGCCTAACACTTTGCATTCTGTATCTCAATCCATAACAGAGCACCCACTGAGGCAGGGGCTGTTGTTATCATCCCTATTTTTAAAATAGGGGCAGCTGGGTGGTACAGTGGGTAGAGTGCTGGGCCTGAAGGCAGGAAAACTCCTCTTCCTGAGTTCAAATCTGGCTTCAGACACTCAGTAGCTGTGTGACCCTGGGCAAGTCACTTCACCCTGTTTGCCTCAGTTTCTTCATCTGACAAATGAGCTGGAGAAGGAAATGGCAAACCGCTCCAGTATCTTTGGTGAGAAAACCCCAAATGGGGTTACGGAGAGTCGGATGCAACTGAAAAAAATGACTCAACAACAACAATTTTCAAAATGAGGAATCTGAGGCAAGGAGAAATTAAATGGCTTTCCCGGGTCAGCCAGCTAGAAAGTGTCTAAGGCAGGATTTAAACCCAGCCCTTCCTGACATCTGCAAGGATTCATAAAGCACTTGCTGCAGGCCAGAGGACGGAAGCACAAAGAATGCAACAATCCCTGCTCTCAAGGAGTTGACATTCTGTCCACGTCCAGCTCTCTGCCCACCCTGGCTCTCTGATTAGATCTGCGCTGCCTTCCTTTTCTTCTGTCTGCGAGGATTCTCTCAAGAAGACTCTTAAGGAAGATTAATCTGGCAGGTTTATGAAGGATGGATTGGGGGAAGGGGGGGAGCAGGAAAACAATTCAGGAGGTTATGCTTTCAACATTTTGTGTCTGTAACCTTTGCTTTTCCGTCTCCTTCACGTCCCCTGCATTTCGTTTGAGGAGGTACCGATGGCGCAGCGGAGTGAAGGGGTCCAGATAAGCAGGTCTGAAGCTTTGGGAAGGGATTAGGATGAGGGATATAGACTTGGGCATCTCCTATGAAGAAATGGCAAGGGATGCTCCGAGAGTGGGTGAGATCTCCAGGGGAGGGAAGAAAGGGGGAGGGAGAACGGGACAAGGTGGAGGTTGGACTGAGGGGGTCAGGGAGCCCTGAGGTGGTCACCCAGCCTGACTCAGCCCTTCACAAACTCTTCCTCTAATGTGGCTCATAGTGGTCTCTACTCAGCCTGTGGTGAGGGAGAGCCTGGCACCTGCCATGACAGCCCCTGGCACTCAGAGACAGTGCTCGCAGGTGAGAAGTTGTTAATCAAATGAGTCACTGTGCAGCCCAACTCATGACCTATGGGTCCAGGAGCACCCAAACTAAGCCTCTTGCAGGCCTTCAGACACTTGAAGGTGTGGGTTTATCCCCGGCCTCGTCCCAGTCTTCTCTTCACCAGGACAAACACATCCCCTCCTTTGGCTGATCTTCAAATGGCAGGAGAGTGAAGGGAGAACGTGAGGAACCAGAGACGTGAAGTCACAGGAGTCCAAAGGTAAGAGGGGGACACATGGTTACAAGATTCCGGTTGGCTTTGGTGTGGGGGAGGATGAAGGGAGGAAAAATAGTGAGGCTCGATTGTCAAAGTGGCATCAGATAAAGAGCGGGTAGATGACGGGTGGGGGAAAGACAGGGCGCTGGGGGATGAGCTCAGGGAGCAGCCTCAGAAAGGCGGGAAGGCCGGAATCCAGACCAAAAGGATAGAAGCCAGTGGAAAGTGAGGCAGGGAGGCCTTCCCAGATGAGGAAGAGAGGGGGTCATGAGGCCGGAGGCGTGGTGCCGTCGCAGGTCCCCAGAGCTGAGCAGGAGCCGGGCTGGGGCTCGGACAGAGAGGCACAACTGGCCTCCTCTTACCACAGACCAATTTAACCCACACATGGCAGGCAGACACCTCGCAGCAAGAGTGAGCAGGTAAAAAGGCTGGACATGGCCAGAGGAGGACAAGGCTCACTCAGGGTCCTGCCCTGAGGCCCCTCTCCACACACACTTGGTGTACTCTCCTCACTCTTCCCAGTGGGTGCGGGGTGCCTGAGATGCAGCCCCGAGAGCCATCAGAAGACCCACGTTTTACATGGAAGGAGGAAGGTTCAGCTCCATGGGCACCTCTAACGTCACTACAGAGCAGTTAAGATCATTGTCAGCAATAAAGCCCTCCACTTTACAAAGGAGGAAACCAAGGCCCAGAGAAGTAACTTGTCCAGGTGGACTCTGCACAGAGGCTTCACTTGAATCCAGGGTCTCTGACACTAATCCCAGCCTTCTTGGTTTTCCATGCACTGGTTCACTTCCTCGATATTGGCTTAAGGAGGCCTTGGGTGAACCAATGGAAGTCCGAGGTGAGAAGTACGAATGTTCCCAGAAAATGGCAGGTAGGGGGATTAGGCAGGCTTGTCAGGGCTACCCTTGTCACAGATGAGCCAAGTTTTCTGAGCAGTCACTGTTTGGCGTCTAGGGAGACAT